ACGAGTTTCTCGGACGATACCGTCAAGTAAAAATAACTTTTGATAGTGATATATAAGCTTGTTGCAAGCTGGGGTGAAGCTTGACTATTTAATTATTTAATTTCTAAATTTATAAGTGCAGTATGATTTTCCTGAAATCTGAGAAAATTTATATAAATAACCGCATATTTGCAAAACGAGTTAGTTTGCTTGAAACAAAATTCGCATATAATGCTTGTTTGAATTCTCGTCACAATGAAATCTGTTTTTAGCTATAGCTTGCGAACTAATTTTATAATGAAAAATGATCTGAAAACTCATTTCAACCAAATAATTAACCAATTTAACTGAAGTTTTGGAATCTACTGTTATCCAAATTGCAACCAACTGAAGAAGCATGAACAAAGTATTAGAGAGTTTTCCAATAGCTGCAACGCATTCCTAGGCTAATTAACAAGGAGGCGGAGCGATCAGCGCACCGCGTACGGTACCCAGCTGGCGGCTGGCACATGCTATCGTTCATCTTGACTGCCACCCAGAGAGAAATACTGCGGATTTTGACTCTAATTAATTGGCTTTTTTCTGTGTAAATTTCAATGAGGTTATTACATGAACGATGTTGATCCTTACTCTAGTATATCACACAATGTGTCTACCTGCGTTTACTCGGATCGCAACCCTAGGATACTCTGATGACTCCCGAATCGTTCTGTCAGATCCAGTTTCTAATTATCTTGTCTTTGCTTTCTAGGGAACAATTTGTCAACTCTCAAAAAATCCACTGCAAAGTTTTTCTCCGTATTGCTCTTTCTGGTTTCCACATTACCACCTTCCTCCATAGAACATACGGAAGTACATGCTTTTTCCCCTGTGTTTGAATAACCTTCTGTTTCCTCTCGATCGCAAAGATTTCTAAAATGCTTGCTCGTAGAAACATACTTATGCACTTAATGCTGTACTAATAATGATGTACTTTTCTGTTACCGTGTGGGTAAAATCTTAGGGTAGCGATGATACAATTTACTGAGATTTGTAGCATACTTTTTTACCCAGGCCTTTTTCTGAAAATCATCTTCTTATGTCCATAAGCTCATTTTTCGCTGTTTCAGTCTTATCTTATGAGTCACAATAATATTTTTCAACATCTCCCATTTGTCAGTCTTTCATGTCGCCTGAGGGAGTCGCAGTAGTGGAAGTATCCTTGTGTACTCTTGCGGATCACAAGTCAACGAACTCATTTGCGGTTTCCTCATTCAAAAAAGTGCAAACAGATGCGACTACTGGTTCTTTTTGCTTCGATGTGAGGAATTAGTGCCACACCGAGGTCTCAGTAAATATCGATGTAGCACTGAGAAATATATTAGGTTGATTCATAATTAATGCACGTTTTTCTCACCTCTTCTTCCAGGTGCTAGTATTTGACGTGTATTAAACTTCCTCAGAAACCTTTTATGATATCTAAAAGGGCGTTTTCTCTAGTTTTTTATGCGACCCTTCGCTTTCGTAAATCTCCGTTCACTCCAAAGTTCTGAGCCTTAAAATTAAAGAGATTAAATCCCAAAATTTTTGCTTTTCACTCTTTTTGCCCTAAATCCATGAGGAATAACCGTATTATCAAAAAATATGCATAAGGATTAGACAACTTTGTGCTACAAGATGCTGTTTGAACAAAATTCTGCATGAATTCTGAGCCGAGAAATTCAATTGCGAACTTGAATGATCGTCGCGGCCCTTCCGTGCCATATAAAACTTTGAAGCAAAAGGCGATGGCAGGTCTCTTGCACTATCCAGCAAGGGTAGACCTAGTTCATTTGATGGTAGAAAAGCGCTAGGATTTTCTCTCTTTTCAGCGGAAAAAAATGAAATAATTTCAAAAATGATCGATTTTTGAACCCGTCGAGATGCCAGAAAAAAGTGAGTACTTTCGACTTTTTCGCGATATTTTCTTTCAAAAATTTTCCGTTAAATCCAAACTTGGCATTACTGCTCAGGAGACAATAGACTACACGAAGAGCGAAAACTGCTTTATCCTACTTCATTTCAACGTAAGCTATGCTCTCTCAAAGTGGAGGTTTCTGAAAAAAGTTGTTGGCAATCTTCAGGCCAGAAAATCTTTCTTGTGATATATACAGTCAGCAAAAGCATCTGTTTTATAGCCACTGATTTGTTGGTTACAGTAGTTTTCATTGCGCCCAGAAATGTCTTTTCAAAAAGGAATTATCTCGGTTGAAAGTTGAAGTATAGAAAACGTGCATTAATTATGAATCAACTTGATATCATAAAGTGCCATGCTCAGGACTGGAAGTTTCGTGCATGCTGAGAAATATGGTGTAGCCTGTTCTATCTTAAATTTTTTTCCTCCCAGGGGTATTCTTAAGTCGTAAACCTTTTGGTTGTCCTGTCCCTGTGGTGATGTTACGTGAACGTGAATATCGATGATGTACTATAAACATGTGTTGTCGGTCAACTACGTAACGCTCTCAAAATGCGCTCTTGATAACTTTGATTTTTGAGGAATGATTCCTTCAGGACCGGTTAACATTTTGTCTAGTCAGTGCGATGTGCGATGATGAGAAAGTTTTTTGATCTTTTTGACCATATTAGACAAATGTGTATTCTTGGCCTTGCTATCCACAAAGACCATTTTTTGCGATGCTTTCCAGCTCTACTGAGAATTCGTTTCGAAGTATAGGAAGTATTGCCAATAAACTGAAATTGCGAACCATATTATATCGTGGCATGAACACTTAACTCGAATATCTTCCCAATACGCACGGTAAACAACGTAAAGATCAATGTAATTACATGCATTCGCTTTTGAACTTCGCCTCTACGCGTAATGAATCAAAATATGAATTTGATTCTTGGAAACGTCTGTGTCGCAAATTGCTTTTCCAGTTTTTTTTTCTTGACGGTGATCATGCTCTTGAGCTTGAATTATGCTAAATTACTCACTTTGCAAAATTGGTGTATAGTTGCCTTCTTCTTCCTAGTTAATTCACGCGTTCACGGCTTACGTCTATTCATCGTAGTTTTTTCGTAAAACTTCCAATTAGTCATGCATCCTATTTTTTATGTGACTTATCGTCGATTCGTTGACCGCACGGACTGCTAGAACGCTGCGGACCACGCGCGGCGCGGCTGAAATGTTGCAGGAGCACGATTCGTACAATGGCGAATTTGTAGTGGAGCAAGCGTTTTACCTCGCCGTGCTCCGCAGTGATTTCCAGTCCTATCTGACTTTTCTATTTGTGCCTGACTTACTGTTTTAGCCAGCTGTTTTAGTCCATATCGATAACATCCGAACCTGAATTTCGATGTCTTTTTTTTTCCCTCTTGAAAAGATCTATAACGAATTTCTTAATTACTCATCTATTCATTGAATCACATTCAAATGTGCCGTTAGTAAACTTAAGGTAGGTGCAAAAGTAAGCGAATAATTTGTTCAGCTTCGCTCAGCCGCAAAAGGCGCACAGAATTAACGTTGATTCTGCACCTGCAGCTGAAGCAGGCCTTGGCAGCAGTAGAGATTATGCAGCAGACATTAATTCTGCGCGCCTTTTGCAGCTGAACGAAGCTGAACAAAATATTCGCTTACTCTGGCACCTACCTAACCAAACGCAAAGTAATAGTAAACTCAAACGGTAGCCGCTAACTTGAACTAAGTCAAGTCAACGTTATTCTTGGGCCTGCTGGTTATCTACAGTCGAGTGGATTTTCCGCTTGATATAGTGTGCCTGCACAGAAGATGAAATGCGGTAAAATTTGCGCGTGAACAGGTAGCTGCGTCAGCACCGTCGGCATTTAGCGCGCGCAATTGGCCGGCGTCACAGTCGAAGCGATTTCCTCACGCGCAGTGGCATTTCACCTTCTTTGCAACATAGTATATCAAGCGGAAAATGTACTCGACTGTATCTGACCAGATCGTCATCTAAGTGGTAAACGGGACTCACTACTTCCACAGTCTATAGGGACTAATGGTACATATCCGGGTTTCACGGCCCTCTTGCCCTGCGCGAATGATCCTCAACCTCGTTTGGCAAGCATGGGTTGATTGATTCGACGGTTTTTTCATGGTGTAGCTTGATTTGCCACATGGTTGTCTTGCATTGCTGCTCTCCTCCGCGTTCACTTGTTCTCACACCACTGAAGAAGCTATTTCTAGTGTCGGCTTTTTGTGTGGTCTCATGATGCAACAGAGCATAGTTTTTGACGAGTGTACCGCCGCTGCAGGTTCTGCTTGTTTGATCGTTGAGCTTCACGACACGTGGGAAGCGCGTGATGTTAGCACAAATAGTTGGAAGATTTGTTGCTTCAAGGGACTCTGTTCGTTTTCCTAATAACACACTTGATTTCTGTTTGCAGCCATGTTCACAGAGTATCGCTATGAGCGAGAATAGGCTCACGGGGCGTGGCTATTACTGAAACAAAAACTTCTTATTTATTGGGAACATGGTTTTGTGAATCCTTATTTTTACTGCAAAAAATTCGTCAGGGCTTGCAAAGATCCTTTATATTCAAGTTTCCAAGTTTTTGGATATGCTCATCGTTGGATATAAAGTGAAGTTCTCGAGAAAACCGACCAAAGCTGAACTATGGCTGGAAAGCCCTCCTTTCTAGAGTCTTCCGTGATGACTGTTCGTACATGTGAAAATTAGCTGTATTCCGATGATCAGCCTTGTTATATTTTGAATGTGTGAGTTCCCTCACAAAGAAACAAAGCTTGGAATGTTTGTAATTTCAGTATTTTCCTGGAATTTTCTTGGCGATTTTTGTGCTCTCATCCTATGCAATGGGAGGAAATAACGTCAGTATTCTATCTTTTCCCCTCTTCTTTAGTCTTCTCTGTCGCTTGTTCGTAAATGTGAGATTCAGAAATGATTTGAACGAAACAGCACAAAACTTTTAGTAAGTAAACGTTATCGGGCGTGCTAATTCTTTGTGCGAGAGATTGTTAAATTTAGTAAGTAAAAATTATCTGGCGTAATTCTGTCGTACGTTAAGAGAAGGTTGGATTTCATATGGGCAAAAGTACGTATACGATTACATACGTAACATACGTACGCGATTTTTTCAGAATTGCATGTATCTCTCGGAGTTTTACTAGCACACATATGAAAATTTTTGCGTCATTTTCCCCTTAATAGACCATGCGTTGGCTATTTCTGAGGAATCTACTTTTGAGAAAAGCATTATAGTATCGGGTGATTTTTCTCTGAGTTCGTCCTTAATTGCTCTCAGAACTGCTATACAAAGTTCGCCTTCTCAGAGAAACATAATTAGCATCTCTTATAGTGTGGACTCCGGCCAGCTTCCCATAGGTATGTACCTCCGCGAGGCGTGCGCAACGCATGCCTTTAATGCGCTTTTCGTTTCAGCTCTACTGGATTTTTTTGCTTTTCTCTCTCAAGTGACTTTGTTCTATCCTGTAATTTCTCTCTTTTAGGTGCAAAGAACTCACGACAACTGCCGTTGAGGAGTTTTTACGAGACTTGACAGCCTTGAACGCTTTTAATCAATTTCTCTTTTTTCTCGATAGCGCAGATTTGAATTAGTATATCTGTGTTTGGATTATCTGGATTTAGCATTCGGATGTGTCTTCAGTGGCTGCTATTACAGAATAAGCCTGCATGTCCGATTGATTTTTATTAAGGATGTTTTTAGGCTTTTTTTAATGCGCCGTTAAGGCTTTTCTTCTAACATCCTACTCTCGATCTTAAACTTTCTAGTTTTTGTGGCCGCAGTAAAAGTATTTCTCGACTTTTTCTGGTTCCTCTATCACCCATCATCGTAATGTCAAACTAGCCTCAATGAGACTGACTAAAACCTAAGCACTGGAGGAAGTTATGAACGTTCTCTTAATGCTTTGGCCTTTCTCAAGTTTCATATGGGAGTTTCCACTTCTCATTTCTTCCTTATTCAAGCAGAAATGCTTTCGTGTTCGTAAATGAAATGAGAAGCGTCCAAGTCGGGCCCGCGTTGCCTATGCGCCGCGGTGGTACCTATGAGAAGCTGGCCGGGGTCCATACTATACCACATATGGACTGGAAACCTGTACCTGCGGTCTCAATTCCCGAACAGCTATCACGATGCCCTGTGTCGTATATGACAACCAGGCCACAAGTATTATTACTTCAGAAGCTAGAACATTTCGTTTACACCGGGAAACTGGCGTGCATACGTACGCACGCGCGAAAATGCTGAACGGGAGTCAGGGCATGCATACGCGCGTATGCATACAGTCGTTAACGTGTTAACATGAAGATGTTGCGAAGCCCTAATTGCCCATCATTAGAATATACGTTGGTGTTGGCACTTCGTCAATATTCCAGTCTTCCGCATGTTTGACTAATTACGCCGTCACTTGTGTCAGTTCACATGTTGACGCATTGACTTATGAATCATTCTCTGCCTTGAGTGGCTGTGCGGTTTATTTTAATTCCATGACCGCTGTGAATAGTTGAAAGTAGCACCGCTGGTTCTATCAGAGCTAGTAAGCTACTCTGGCAAGCATTTTTTGACGTTCATAGAACGTACAACCAAGGTTCTTTTCACTCCAGTATTTGCCCGCGCAGAAGGCCTTCTGGCCAAGCCAATAATTATGCATACTACAAACTTCGCGACGACTGAAGTCATAATTACGCCTTTGTAACCTGGAAGTGAAAGCAAATGCTTGCTTCCATGTTATCTGTTCTTGTCTCACTTATATAAATTACTCTAATCGTAGATCCAGCACAGCTAGTCGCATTACGATCATCATTGGTAACATCCTGGGTTATTTTAGCAGATTGATCTGTTTTTTTTTTGCTCGCAGGCAGCGCTAACATTCAGCGATTGTTGCGCCGAATTACTGGTGGGTGAGGTCGCGCAACATAATTTGTTGGGATGTGCAGATTCATTGTTCGAAAATGATGCGTGGTTTTCTTCCTCCTGTGATCATAGCGTGATCTCGCTTTCGTATATTTTTCTTTTCTTTCTAGGTGTTATCATTGTTGGCATTTTTTGTTGAATATCTCAGTTGCTGTTGAGATGCTGAATAATGTATGCAAACTAACCCACAAAACACTATTCTCTTGTCTGTCCTCCTTAGGAAAACAGATCATATTGCGCTAATGTGGGGTGCATGTGTGAATGTGTGACACAGTTGCAATATCGATCTTATTTCGTTACGTTCTGAACATTTCGCGATATCTTGCTTCCTTTTACTTCTTTTCAGTTAATCATTAGTGCTTTGATGATATGAAAGCGTCACAATACAGCCTGATATTCAGTCTAGTTGTCATTGATTGTCTTACTTTTTCGGGGTTGTTGACACTCGTCCCATAATTTTAGTGTTGACAACTTGCGCGAATCGATTTACATGATTAGGGTACTCGTGTTAGGCAGAATCCTGTGAATCGAATTACGACGTCAAGTAGTTAGGTTTCGCATTGAACACCGCATGATAAGAAAGCTTGCTTGGAATGTCAGTAATCAGAATCGTAAGATTTTACCCATGTGGAGCTAGCAACGTTATGAGTGGCTCCCGGGTAAGTACTTTTCTTATTGGCACTTTATGTGCTAAAGTTTTTGAAAATCGAACAGTGTTTCCGGCTTCATATTCTTGTTTTTTCTGCATTCCGTTGCCACACAAAGCTATCCGGTTTTTTGTGAAGATTCAGTTTTGTTTCCAGTGTGTAGTCATTTGCGACTAGTATTTATTTCTCATTCTGTTTCAATGATCATGTGATATATTACAAGAATTATGAATGAAAACACGATGCTGCTGCAGAACTCATCAAAACTATTAGCTGAGGAGCCTTTTCCGCTGCCTTATATCCGAATCGTCTTTGCTTCAAAGGTTGACGCTTCTCTACATTTTCTTCATTTCCTTTTTCTTTTTGCTGTTTTAGTCCCCACATTTAATCCGACCAATATCTATAAAGGCACATTCCTTTTCAAATCATTTGTCTTCATCGAATCGGTTAATTTTTGCAGAATTTGAAGTTGATTGTTTGCCGAATTCAAAGACTGACTTTTCTTAGTGTTAGTAAGACTGACTTTTCTTAGTGTTAGTAAGGCTTAAAATAGTCCGTTATGGTTTCAGAGTGGCAATATGCTGATTTCTTTCAAAAGACCCACAACATTGGATTCGTTTTGAATCTTGAATACTCAGTTTTGAGAAAATTAGTCTTTTCCTAACCCTATCTTGTCCTCTAGTACTTTACCGTGTTCTGGTTTCACGATCAAGGTTGCGATTATATGGAAAATCCATGGAGTGTGTGGCCGAAGAGCCTCATCGCCATGGCTCGTACGAAAGAAAATTACTAAGCAACGCGCATGAGAGAATTAATTACGCGAAAACCATATCCACCCAACCGCAATGAATTCTCATAGAGTACAAAAACTGCTCAGTGATGCTCCCTTTGTCAATATCCTTTGCTTACCACTGATGTTCGCAAGAAAGTTTTCACAATCGTATTAATCAGTTCGTTAGGGCAACTGCGTAAGGAACTCAAGCTATACAACTCCAGAATCTCGTGAGACAATGACCGAATATTCCTGTGCGAATGTGGATGAGCACATGACTTCAGATGGGAAGATACGAGTTGAAGATCCAGCGGAATTCCTTAAACGGCAGCCAAAAAAGAGCATACTGAAAATGAAGCAGGTGGGCTTCTTTTTTTTTTGAGATACCTTATTGTTATAGTTTGGTCCAGTTTTTTTATTATTTTCGGCTGTTTGTTACTGTTTAGAAACAAAATTGAATTATGGGAGGCTTGAGAGCAGGGCGTATCAACGCGCTTCAATGTCTATTGTCGTACCGTGTGGGGATACAACAAACCACCCTAACAAACACTTATATTTGTTACCAGTTTTCACTGCTTCGTCGCATAAAGTGTGCGTACCGATGTTTGACGGCAATATGTTCTGAGTTTCTTGTGGATTGGGTGGTGGAACTTCATAACCCAGACTGCTCATTCTGTATTTTCCCTATAGTGAACTCAGTATGATAGGAATTGTTGAAAGTGGATGCTGCGTGCAGCTTTCCATTTAAATTTGATTCGTACTGAATACGGAAAGTTTTGTTTACGATTTAGATCCCACAGTGACAGTTTCTTGCGTGAGAAAAGTGTGTGCATTTTCGCAGTTACACTGTCTTGTCATGTTGTCTTTTTTTTAGGGCAAGATTTTTTGATACAAAATAGTGGTTTTCAGGACGTGTCGATGGATGGCAAAGATGGACGAGCCCATTTTGATGAGATGAATATACTGGCTACATATCATCCTACGGATAAAGATTACGGGACTATGAAAGTAATAGCTTTTTCCGATCTCTTACAGCGCAAATGGTGATGATCTGCCTGTTTTAGATTGATGAGCCAAAAACGCCTTATAACTACTCAGACTGTGAATCAGAAGGAGATGAGGTGAAATCTGTAGGTTGTGCAGTTGCTTTCCATCAATTCAGGAGAAATACCAACTTAGGCTTCGTCTGGTCAAGGTACTCATCGCCATCGTAGGGTATCACTTGGAGGAGCTGTTGATCCTGAGGAGGTGTGTCACCCTACCGTTCATATTTTTCGGGATTTTTGTACATGAGTTTTCGACCTGTTTAGTTCAAGTTGTATGCGACACCTTTAGGCTCGATCTGGCAAGGGTCTTCCTTTGCAGGTTGCTGAAGGACTTAGTCACAATGCATCAGGGTCAGTGAAGTCAATTGGTTCCGGCTCCGACAGTGATGATGATGAAGCACATCTTACTCCTGAACAACTTGGTATGTTGCAACCATCGTTATTTTATTATCCATCTTAATTTTTCATCAAAACTAGTTTTTTTCTTTTCTTTTCATTTTTTGAAAGTGTGTTCAAAACAACATTATGATGTAACACTCCATGGTTTACTTTAATTGCAGTGAGGTTCCTGTTACAAGGAGCTTGCAACTTGAGTCTTTCTCATCATGTTATTGATGCTGCTATGTAAATCGTTGAGGTGGCGCATGTGCCTCAACTCCTATCCTAAGCTGTAGATTCTGATCTCTTTCCGTTCACATCGGATAACTTCTTGAGAGGAACAAAGTCAAATTAATGCCGATTTCATGCGACTGCTAATAGAAGTGACGAAAAGTTACCGCTACTCGAAACAACGAAAGATTCTGACTATGATATTTTGCGAATATACGGCAGATATTGCTAGAGAAAGCGTGAGCTCGCTAGTTTTTTACGAATAAACAAAACGAAGCACACTCAGCACTTAAATTCGATTCTCATGTGACGGCATTCTGTTCCAATTTCAGCTCGACTTTGATTCCATATATTTGCTTCCGTATATGTTTTGCATCTTATGCCTATGTTAGTCTTTTTCTTTTCTACAATTATTATCATGTAAAAACTGCTTCAGCGCACAAGAGAGAATTCGAGAAAAAACGCAAAATGCACTACAATGAAGGCGCTGCATTGAAAGCGATGAAGGCACACATCGACGACGAGGAGATGGAATAGCTCGTACATCTTTGAAAGTACATTAGAGATGTAAGCTCCTCTCGCCGCCCTCTTTCATTGCACGCAATAATTGTGCATTATTTATATTGATCCTTGTCGGTTTTTGTACAATATATGATCCATTTCATGCGCATGAGAAAGATGCCCAAAAGTTACGTATATTGTGACCGGCATCATGCTAGTTCGCAATTATATGTGACTATCCGTTGTTTGCTTCGTGTTATTATTCAACTAAGTTCATTAAAGAGCATTTGAGCTTTTTATTTTACTTAGCAAGATCGATAACTGTCGCTATGGTCGTGAATTTCTTGATTGTCCTTTGGTGGAATTCAGGTCATTCTAGTTGATTTTCCCGCTCTTGATTCATGGGTTGAACTCTCGTTTCAGTATCTGAACTGTTTGTTTCACGTAATTTGTATTTTTAATCGAGAATTGCATGTTCTATGATAAAGAATCATGGAAGCGGATTCTCGCCATTAGAACGCTACGCCGCCGTGGACGTTCGCGATCTGTCAGATATGTCCGAATTTACCAGTCGCAGACGAAATGTGTGGTGTGTTGTTGCATAATTTGATGGAATGCCGCATATACTGCGTATACAAAAAGTGCTTAGACGTCTGGAACACTTCCGGATCACCTGGCGACTCGAAGGCGCGAGGCATATCGAGGAGGTTTAGACCATATGTACATGCATGCATGGTGCATCCCCCAAAATAGTTCCCATATTAACCATCAACAAGGCTGTCTTTCGATCATTTTAACATGTCGACTTCGAATAAGAGCCTTAAATTTGCTGGAGTTAACATGTTAAAACGATCGAAAGGCAGCCATGTTGATCGTTCATATGGAAACAGTTCTGGGAGATGCACGATAGGTCGCGAAGTGCTTTGAAGTCATACCCGTCAAGACCGCAGTCGGGAGCCAAACATCGGCTGCTCTTTCGTCCAAGCAGATATAGGGGAGAGGGAAGACCTGCTGCGTGAGCGAGGCGTGGGTCGCGTTAAAGGCAGTGGATCGGCAGAATGAGTCCCGTGGCAAAACAAGGTCACAGGGTAGGAGCCCTTATAATGGAACCTGTCCAAAGTTCGATCTTTCTCTGCCACTTCTAACCCCCGAAATTTCAACGCGAAAGCGCTCATCTCCTCTCCTCTCCGACCGCGTCCACCCCATGGGCGACTGACTTCCCCGTCAGAGCGCGCATGTCGCAATGCAACGACTCTGCGTCTTCGCCATGGCGGGCTTCGCGTTCACTCGTCCGCGGGTGGGCGGGCTCGGAGAGGAAAGGAGATGAGCGCAGCTTTCGCTTTGAAATTTTGGGGGTTACAAGTGGCAGAGAAAGATCGAACTTTGGCCCATAGGTTCCATTATGGGAGCTCCTACCCTGTGACCTTGTTTTGCCACTGGTCTCATTCTGCCGATCCACTGCCTTTAAGTCCAGCAGGATGACTATGGCATCGTTCAGACCGCTCCGGTATCCGTCCAAACCCTCCCGAATTCGTCCGTATTGCCTGAACCCGTTCTTCTGCCCGAATCTGCCTGAGACGCCGGAACTGCCAAAGCAGGAGCTATACATGCAAAATGGCATCAAACTCACCTAAAGTCAGCCAAAATGAGACGAAATACCAGGAGAGGCGCAGAGTCGATTGATCTCTTAATATCGAGTATAAAGTTATAAATGAAAATCGGTAGGTAACGTTGAGCTACGTGTAACTAAGATATCTGCACCTTGCGCAGTATCCACACGTGCTCCAATGTGCCAATTTGCATTTTTCGCGTTGGCAGTTCCGCCGTCCAAGGCGGGCTCGGACGGATTCAGACGAGTCTGGGCGGGTACCGGTACGGTCTGAACGATGTCCATCGGTTGCTGTCATGCGAAATAGCGTCCCCCCCCCTCGGGCATATCTCGCGCGATTCCAGTCACCATGCGATTCGGCAAGATTCCATTCGGGATACCAGTGGCCGTATGCGTCAACGAACCCAATGGCTTGGTTAACCCCAGTGGAGAGGCTAACTTATCCTAATGGGTATCGCTACTGAATTGCAACGCGTCTCGCTTTTAAGATTGGTGCCGCCCTGTTCTGCGTCGGTGACCTTCGGCACCAGGGCATGGCACGAGTTCTCTAAGGTTTTGGAAAACGAAGTCCCCCCCATCCCCTGACTTTCGGAAGTTTTAAGAAGTCCTCTTTGACCTATCTACTTAGGAAGATGAAAACAAGAGAGATGTACAAGTCTGAAGGAAAAAACGTGAGATAAGAGTGAAAATCCAAATTGGAGCTGAATACTACGCATGCACAAGACTTTGGCATTAGAGCGCGATATTTAACAAAGGGAGAAGAGATGAAGGCAAAAAACAAAGGAAAGGTAATGATATGAAAATGTCTCAATGCTCAGGGATAGATTTTTGATCGGTGAATCCGTCCATGATAGAAAAATCCAAAACATATGTGATGTGGCAGAAATATATGCTTCATACGATCTCAGATCGTGTTGTGACCGTCTGGAAACGGGCGAATTCTGGAAAAGGTATTATATTACTTCACATAAGTTTTCAAATCTTTTTACATGATTCTTTTGCAAATAATTCTCCATGTATACAGCTCAATTTTAGTGTCATACGATTCTGTGTTCCCTGTAAAGAAGCAATTTTTTTTCAATTAAGCCTTGCTTTCAAATCGCGCGCACTTTTCGCCATACGCGATAGAGCATGTCAATCGTGTGATAACCAGGGTTGAGCTTGTGGTTAGGCGCACCCGACGGGGGGAGGGGGGTCGTATGGGGGGGGGGGTAAGAGACTGAGGGGTGGGGGGTCGTAAACAAGACGAATTCGTTCACAAAATGGAGGGGATGCTACGATTGAGTGAAGTGAAGAAGAAGAGCGCTAGACCAGTGAATATCATTTCATCGAAGAGGGAGTGACTGTCGTTAATTGCATGTTGGTTAACTCCATAAACGAAGTTGCTGTCAACGGTAAGGTCATCTAAGAGTCTTGCTCTGTAGAGTGGGTAAGTTTTCCGTAATCAGCCAAATTACCTGTACGAGCTCTACAAACCATCACCTATCATATTTTTTAGTGTCTCCTAACTTCTAGGAAGCGTGATTTTCGAACATGTTAACCTGGTCACAAAAGTAAAACAAGTCTGCTTTCTCGTGCTCAAAACGAAGAAATACTCTTATCAGTCTATGGTAGAGATTTGATCTCCTATAGCTTTCAAGAAATGGATCAAGAAGTGCTGCCAAAATTTCAATCACCGCGTTTTCCATCTTGAGTGCTTCAACTCTACCGATCACCACAAGGTCGGAACAAGTCCGATTGAGCTTAAATACCTATTGTAGAACGTTCGAGGTTTGTGCTAGCGAATCACATAAAAGTAGGATAGAAAAGATTCTTCGGTGATAAAGTTAACGGGTCAGGCGCAACCCCTCAAAAGCACAGGCCGCCTGAGCTTTTGTAGCTTCGCGCCTGACCCCCTTAACATGTCTTCAAAATCCAGGAATCGCTCTATTCTTGGTATTAATATTGAACGCACATCCTTCTTGCTACAGTGAAAATTTGTAACCAAACACCCCAGCCTCAAAAAAGTTATGATCCTTGCAATAAACCCATTCAGATCAAAATCAACCGTCAAATTACGCGTGACTGTAAAGTGCAATCACAGAAAACCGGGAGTACAGTCAAAAATCCAAAACTCTTCAGAAAAGGATGGTGTCCTCCAGAATGTCGCTCTCTGAGGTTCCGGAGGTAAAAGGAGGAAGGGGTCGTTTGGGGCTTTCAGAGGGAGAGGAGTGGTTTTCGAAAAACTTGTGCCTGAATTCTTGCTCATCTCTGTGACGAAGTGCTGCTATATAATATTTGGCTTAGCCAATTTTGTATCTTTTCCCGAAAAGGATGGAAAAGTAATGGAAGTCAAACCAAGTCTTGCATACATGATCTATAAGGTGGGGCGTGTTGAATACGCCACTTTGTTCGAGACCTACCAATTGCCTTTATCAATTTATTGAATTTTTGCAGTTTATGTTCCCCCAAAAAGGATAGACGGTGTCATAGAATCTAACTTAATTTAGCACACATAACCTACAGGGTGGGCGTGTGTAAACCATTTTGTTCGAGACATACCGATTGCCGCTATTCTTTTATTGTTTTTGTAGTTGTTGCCTAGAAACCTTTCTATGTTCGCTCAAAAAGGATGGAAAATTATGGAATGCAAACTAAATTTGCCAGGCATGATGTATGGGACGAGGGGTAAATTGATAAGCCATTTTGAGAACATGGATAAGCCATTTTGAGAACATGCTGATTGACCTTATCGATTTATTGATTCGCACTTTGTTTAATATTCGTTACTTAAGATGTTGAATCAAAACGACTTACAAAGCCAAAACTGTTCTTAGTTTCCTTTCTGCGTTTCCTTCTAAGTCGAAGTAATTTGTGCAGAAATGGCAAAATTCCTGCAAATTTTCACATTTCCGCACTATAGAGTAAAACGAAAGATCTACGAGGCAGTGAAAATATTGACTACCAGAGGAACCTGCCTCGAAGTAGCAGAAAGCGGCTGGTCACTGTGAAATTACTGTAGTAAGCAGCACGTCTTCAGCATTTCAATTGTCACAAAGGATTTTCAAAACGTCAAAAATCATTCAGACTTCTTACTCCTAGCATATATGTTTGTAAATGTATAGCAACTTGTTTGTGTACCATCTCAGCAGAAAGGGCTTGAGTTCACCGCAGCCGTCACGTTGATGCCTTTCCACATGAACGTAAAGGCTGCTGCATGACGAAGGCGCAGAGGCAGTGTAGTTGGGCGCAACGAACTCTGCGCGCGTATCTCCACCATTGTAAATTCTGCGCTTCATACGCTCTGCGGCTAATGTGAACGCGTTCGCGCCAAAGATAGTATGTGCCTTCGTCATGCAACAGTCTATACATGGAAATACTTGTATGGAAAGCTGATCTCACACGGATGTTTGTATCTGCAAAGTCATCTTAAGAAGAACTTACGAACATTTCCCCATACGTGTGGGAAAAAATAGTCAAAATTGTCGGTGCGATCCTAGTTACCTGCTTTTTGAAAGAGGTTAGCTTGAATGCAGTGTCTGGGCAAGTTAGGGGTTTTGAAACTTCAGTGCCATGCGAAAGTAGCCCTCCTCA